TTTTTTTTTTTTTTTTTCTCCGTTATTCCTCCTGCTTTTGCTCTGCCCCTATTCAGCATGTAGGCTGTACGAGATGCTGCGCTTCTCCGTGATCGTTTTATGGCTTTCTCGTGTTACCCTGTGAGGAAAGAGTTTTTCTCACATGGAAAACCGGAAATGGGAATATGGAGAGGCGAGGTAGTTTTGTGGCTGTTCAGTGTCTGAAGCGCGGCCTTTGTCCTTCCCCAGGTGCTAAACTTGCTTTGCCCTTCTCTTCTTGGCATAGGTGGCTCTCGGGCCCCATGTGATGGTGATACTTCCTTGTAAGAATGTAAGCTTTGTTTCCCCATTTAAGCAACAAGACATGGTTTCTCCCTCGTCCTTATGTTCCTCTTGGCTCCTATTATGTTACTGTGTTTTTAGTAGGAATGATTGTGTATGGTCAAATGTATGTCTGTATGTTCTTATGTGTGTATATATTTGGATGGATGGCGGATGGCTGGATGGGTGAGTACTCGGCTCAGTAATTCTTTTCTTGCAGTAAACAGTTTGGAATATGGCATCCTCATTTCAAGCAACTCAGTCTCATTTAATTTCTGAAGTCTTGATTCTTTCTTGCACTGCTGCCAATCTCGCTCTCTCTCTCTCTCTCTTTTTTTTAATATAACCTTTTTTGAATACGTGAAAGAAGAAATTTCCCTTGCATATATACATTTTAAAGATAAATATGGGAAAGGTTCATGGATATTCAGACTTTGTTTTTAAATGAAGCTGCATCTCGTCATCTGCTCTGTATTATGACATGATATTTGTTGGAAGTGTGAGATTTGCTTTACTTTCTATTTAATTGAAATGTTAGTGCATTCTCTGTGACTGTAAACATTTTTATAATTTATGTTATTTTTTTGTCTAAATTTTTATACATTTTTAAAGTTTATATCCATTTTCCTTTTTTTTTTTTTTTTTTTTTTTTTTTTTTTTTTTTTTGGTTTTTGTTTTTGTTTATTTAGAATGCTCTGTAACATTAGTGAAACCCCCAGATAGTAGGTAAGACAGTTTTGTTTTGTTTTGTTTTGTTTTTTAATTTTTTTTTTAATGTTTATTTTTGAGACAGAGACAAAGCATGAATGGGGGAGGGTCAGAGAGAGGGAGACACAGAATTTGAAACAGGCTCCAGGCTCTGAGCTGTCAGCACAGAGCCCGACGTGGGGCTCCAACTCACGGACCGTGAGATCATGACCTGGGCCGAAGTCGGCCGCTTAACCGACTGAGCCACCCAGGTGCCCCAAGACAGTTTTTACCTACAGGGTGAATTGAAGATGCCAGGGTCTTGTGCCTCAGCTCACCTATTTTCTCCCTTTGGTACATACTCTCCCTCAATTTGTAGCCCATAAAGGCTTTTCATTCATAGCTTAATTCAGAGCCTGACCTCTAAGAAGCTTAACTGCAAAGACAGAAAGTTAGAATTAATAGAAAGCATACAGTCGGCCCTTTACTGGTGTGAATGTGGGAAATGCAGGGCAGGCGGTATAAGTTGTTTGCTCAGAGGTGTGTGGCCTGCTCAGGGCTGAGCTCAGGTCCCCTCTGTCTGAGTCTAGACTTATCCAGGACCTCTTAACTATATTCTGGAGAGGACTCTTTCTCACTCCACCATAACCTCTTTATCCATCTCGTAGAATTCTTATCACAATTCTTATCACAAGCCTTCCAACAGACTTACTTGTAAATGAGCCTGTCTCCTTCAGTGTACTTGAAGCTTTTGGAGACAGGGACTGCGTGACTCATGCCTTTGCTCCCAATGGCACCAGCGGCACCCCTGCCACATAGTAGGTGCTCTGTAATGTTTGGGGTGGTGGTTAGGCCACAGCAATATAAACCTGCTTCTTCAGGCACAGATCCCAGCTTCATAGCTACCCATCAGGCATGCCAGTTCTAGAGCCCGACCCACCTGTTTGAATTACTTTTACCCTCCTATACCCATTCCTTGAGCCTTTTAGTCCAGGAGTTGTTGAGCCACTGCCACCTGGAAGTTTTCCATTCCATTTCCCCACCTTAGTTTTATGTCTGCAATCTCTGGGGTTTGCTTTCTCATTTTTAAACTCGGGCTGAGAATGGCCAAGTACCCACATGTTTTCCACATCAGCTTATATTTATGTGATCCCATATGTCATGATTTTCTTAAAAAAAAAAATATTTATTTAAGTCATCCCGGCGCCTGCTGTAAGGTTCAGGTCCATGACCCCAAGATCAAAAGTCGTGTGCTCCATCGACTGAGCCAGCCAGGTGCCCCAACTCTCATAATTCGTTTATAATGAATTCTGCTAATGACCTTTCTCTAAAGAGCTTTGGCACACTTAAAAGTGGGGTATTGTTTTTCCCAGTTAGTAGCTCTTTAGGCCTTCAGATACTCATATTTTGCTCATTGTTCTCAAACTTTCCACTGATCTTTTTTTAACAACTTGTGTTCCTTCTGTCCTCTTTGAATGACCCTGCATTTCCAAATGCCTTTTCATGTTTAATACAGTAGCCTTCATATTTTTTTTTATTAAGTTGTGCCTTCTTACAAAGTTTATCCTGTTAAATGTCCACATCATTTTTTTGTGGAATGTTGCTATGTATGTATGATTTTGTCTCATCATCTTCTATTTTAGACTGATGAGAACAAGATAATGCATTTTTTTTTTTTCTGGTCTCGAAAGTAGTAGCCAGTGATTATCTTTATACTGTAATCTGGATCTTCTGTCTGCTCCAAATTTGCAAAATAAATCAGTAAACAAACAAACAAACAAACAAACAAACAAAACCAAGAACACAAAGCCTTAGACTATGATGGCAGAACAGGGTATTGATCTTTCTTTTTCTGTTTTTGGTAGATACCA